GTGATGATGATGTTGATGATGCAGATGATGATGAGGTGATGGTGATGATTGTGACGATGATGGCCCGATGATGGTGATGATGATGCTGATGTTTGTGATGATGATGGTGTCCAGACGATGATGGTGATGGTGATGATGATGGTGACGATAAAGACGGTGTCCCGATGATGATGATGATGTAGATGATGATGGTGATGGTGCCCCGATGATGATGGTGGTGATGATGTTGTTCGTGATGGTGTTGAAATGATGATGATGGTGGTGTCCCGATGATGATGATGGTGTCCCGATGATGATGGTGGTGATGGTGATGATGGTGACGAAGATGGTGTCCTGGTGATGATGATTATGGTGATGATAATGATGATGGTGGTGATGGTGATGATGTAATGATGATGATGATGGTGTCCCGATGATGATGTTGATGACGTTGATGACGATGATGTTGATGGTGATGACGTTGATTGTGAGATCGATTGCGATATCGATAGTGAGATCGATTGTTAGACCGAATGTAAGATCGATTGTGAGATCGATAGTGAGATCGATTATGATATCGATAGTCAGATCGACCAAATGAAATAAATCGAGTGAGATCGATTGTGAGATCGATCGGGTGAGATCGATCGAGCGAGACCGATCGTGAAATCGATAGTGAGAACGATAATGATATCGATCGAGTGAGACGTTGGTTCCTCCCCCCCCGAACCTCCTTATCACCCGAAGGGTGGTCGTATAGGTATTATCTGCCAGAGCTGCAGGGTGCGCGATGATGTTGGATATTTCGCCGCGTGCGCGGCCCTCATGGACTCATTTGACAGAAAGTGTCGGGCGGTTTGGACGGGGCAGTGCGCTTGCCAGTCATGAGAATCGGGGTGGTTCTTTCTTCATGTAGTCCCCACCGTGTCGTCGTCGTCGCCCCCGGAAATCAACCGTCGTGTTTGTTCACGAGGTGGCCCCCCCGAAGGTCTGGACCCCCCCCGGGGTCGGCTTCTCATCCTGAGTTGTTTCGTTTACACTCCAGGGGCCCAGCAAAGCCCCCAGAGGCTGAGAACTGCAAAAAGCCCGCCGTGGAGACTTGTTCTCGGCGCGAGCATGTCAAGGCCATCGTGGTGCCGCCGTCAACTGCCGCTGCCGACGAAGCCACCGTCATTCTCGCCTATGTGGACAGACGAGGGGCGCGGCGGGGCGCACCCCGTGAGGTCGAGCCCCGTGGTCTCGTCCTGGGGCGCACGCGGTGAGGGGGAGGCGATTCTTCCTGGTCCGTCCTCCATCCTTCCTCGTTGTCCATGTTCTCCTCCTGGTTCCCTCCTCCCTCCTCGTCCTCCTCATCCTCCTCCTCCTTTGCCTCCTCCTCCGCCTCCTCCTCCTACTCAACCTCCTCTCCTCCTCCTCCTCCTCCTCCTCCTCCTCCTCCCCCCCCCTCCTCCTCCACCTCCTTTTCATGCTCCTCCTCCTCTTCCTCCTCAACCTCCACCTCATCTACAATTACACAATATGAAAATACTCTCCCGCTTCCCCTGATGGCGTCCCGAAGATATCCGACCCCCCCGCGTATTGTTTTTTATACACACACACAGGTTTCCCGGCAAACGGGTTTTCGCTTGTTTTTTTTCAAAATGCTGCTCTCGCTGAGGCGCCGGCCTCATTTCTGTTCCCGAATCGTTCCGAATCGTGCTCCCGCTGCAGCGTGGGCCTCATTTTCGGATCGGTGTTTGGCCTCCGTCGTTCAGGATGGCGTTCTCGCCCCAGCGCGGGCCTCTTTCTCGCGCACCCATCCGCCCGCCACCACCGCGCCGCACCACCACCACCACCACCACCACCACCACAACCACCACCAGCACCACCACCCACCACCACCACCACCATCACCACCACCACCACAACCACCACCACCACCACAACCACCACCACCACCACCACCACCACCACCACCACAACCACAAGCACGCACGCACGCACGCACGCACGCACGCACGCGCACCACCACCCACTACGCACGCGCGCGCGGAGCCACAAGTCCGCTACGACACGCGTCCGCGGATAGAGAAAATCAGCGCCATGGTAAGGGATGGGAGGGAGGGGTAGGACGTCAGATATCACGCGAGCGCACCTAGCTTGTCTTCCGCCCCCTCCCCCCCTCCTCCTCCTCCTCCTCCTCCTCCTCCTCCTCCTCCTCCTCCTCCTCCTCCTCCTCCTCCTCCTCCTGGACACGCTCGAGGAAGCACGGGGCGGGACTGTATAAGCCCAACCTGCGCCTCAGGTGCAAGCAGGCACCAAAAGACATGCGGCACCGCGGGTGGCTATGTACTGCCGACACGGATGCCAAAGCTCATTCAGATTATGATGGGTTCATCTCTGCAGCACTGGCGCAGGAGGACAGTGACAACTGCTCGTGGCATCGCGGAGTGATCCCGCCGCATATGACAGTTACCCCAGCGCCACCCATGCAGGAGGAATGGATTGGAGCGGAGTTGTTGATTCCTGGAGTTGAAGCAGGTTGCCTTGGAGTTGGGACTTCGTCAAAACCGCTGCTCATAGTTTGAGGTGCGTCAGGTGGTCCAGACAGTCGGTTCACATCCTGGAGGAGAGTCGGCATTGGAAAAGTGGCTATGGCCGGCCCGATCACCATGACCATCGGGCCCAAGATAGCAGGACCTCTCACAGGGCGAGTCCAATCAGTTCCGCGGGGCGAGCTGCGGTGTTCAGAGCTCGCCATCAGATTTGATGTTGGCCCGACGGTGTTCATATCCGTACGCTCCGCAGTATTTGTGTGCTAGCAAGAATGAATTGAACGGTTTGTGGGCCGAGATCGTGACCGTGGTAAATCACAGGGATCTCAGTGAGATCGTCGTTCTGCAGGTCCGCTCTCACTTGAACGACAAGGACGCCTGTGCGAGGGAAACCCCAGGGTGGCTCATACATGAAAAATGAAGTGGCTGACGCCATAGCCTGTGGGGCAGCTGAGCGGTGTAGGTTGCCTGCCGATGAGAAGATAGCTGCGCTCGCTCCTGGTGATCGTGTCCCGTCGGTCCAGGCCCCGCCGCCGCCCTCCCCAGCGACTGTAGACAGGCTTCAAACAACCCACACGCTTACTGAGTGCGGTTTTACGTGTACCACGAGCCATAGGAGAGGCACGAAAGCCACCCTCCAAGAATGGCTAGCATCCCCTTGTGCGCCTCTAGACCATGCCGACTCTGTAATTGCCCGGGGGCCCAGAAGGAAGCTGCATTTAGCTGGAGAGTGGGCTCATGAATCTCATCGCACGCTGTTTCACCAGTCACTCAGGTCTGGATATGCAGGGCTTGCTGGTTTGACTTGTTTTGCTGGATCTGTGAGCTAACCTACAAGCGGGGCTCAGACAGGAGCGTATTGGTTCTGAACCCCTCAGTGATACCAGGCGGCCTTATATAGACCGCGTTCATCGAGGTGTGATCCCCAAGCCTTTTAAGCGCAGCTGAACGGGCTGCGCGGCGGCAGCCTGGGAGGTAGTGCTCTAGCTTGCATTGACACCGTCATGGTGCTGTGTCTAGTTTCTCCTCATCCTCATCCTCCTTCTCATCCCCCTCCTCCTCCTCCTCCTCCTCCACCTCCACCTGCTCATCCTCCTCCTCCTCTCTCCTCCTCTCCACCTCCACCTCCACCTCCTCCTCCTCTCCTCCTCCTCCTCCTCCTCCTCCTCCTCCTCCTCCTCCTCCTCCTCCTCCTCATCATCATCATCATCATCATCATCATCATCATCATCATCATCATCAATCATCATCATCATCATCAGCATCACATCAGCATCATCATCATCATCATCATCATCATCATCATCATCATCATCATCATCATCATCATCATCACATCAGCATCATCAGCATCATCATCATCATCATCATCATCATCATCATCATCATCTCGTCGTCGTCGTCGTCGTCGTCGTCGTCATCATCATCAGCATCATCATCATCAGCATCATCATCATCATCATCATCATCATCATCATCATCATCATCATCATCATCATCATCATCATCATCAGCATCATCATCATCATCATCCGCCTCCTCCTCCCCCTCCTCATCCACCTCATCCGCCTCCTCCGCCTCCTCCGCCTCCTCCGCCTCATCCGCTTCCTCTGCCTCCTCCGCCTTATCCCCCTCTCCGTTCTCCTCCCCCTCCCCCTCCCCCATCCCCCTCCCCCTCCCTCCCCCCCCCCCTCCAACTCTCCCTCGCACGCTAGGTGTAGAGGTACGTGGGCTCCGCCAGACAGCTACAACGCTCCGAGGAAACGTCGTGGGGGGGGCGCCTGGCCAGGGATCGTATCTATTCAGAATGCCCTTGCGTGCCCCCCTGCCCCCCCCCCCCCAATATTGCCTGTGTAGTGCGGGGGGGGGGCGCAAGGGGGGGGGGGTACGCAGGTAATGTTTGAATGGTGGACACATGCTCACGCGATGCGTTCCGCATCTTGAGGGGGCTCGAGCAGGTTTGTTGCACTGGTGCCCGCACCCCCCACCTCGCTGCTCTCTGCGCTGCTGTCTCCCTTCGTCCCCGTCGTCGTTCCTCCCCCCAGCCTCTGCTTCGTCTGGCTCCGTGGCTTCTCTCGCTACTCTCGTGGGGTGGCCCCCGCGTCTCGCTTCTCCCTTGTCGTCCCCCGCTCGTGGGGGGGGGGGGGGCGGGCGGGAGGATGGAAGACGAGCGTGGGGTTGGGTGGGAGGCGAGCGCAGAGCGACAGCCCGATCCCGCGCGCCCGCATACGGGGACATGAAGTACCCCAGCGAAGGACTGCCCACATCCGCTCCCTTTCTCCCCGAGTGTTTGTACTTCTTTTGCTTGTTCTCAGGGGTGACGTGAGAAAACGACTCCATGTTCGATTACGTTTAGTGGCCCGTGGTGGTCCCTATTTGGGCCGAGGGGGGGGCTCCCCTATAAGTTTGACAACGCGGCGTGTAAATTGCACCACCTGCGCACACAGTCCCTAAGCCTTGCAAGCTTGCGTCAAGACCTGGATCACATGGTGAGACCCCCGCCGCCGCCTCCTCCTCCTCCTCCTCCTCCTCCTCCTCCTCCTCCTCCTCCTCCTCCTCTCCTCCTCCTCCTCCTCCTCCTCCTCCTCCCCCTCCCCCTCCCCCTCCCCCTCCCCTCCCCCTCCCCCTCCTCCCCTCCCCCTCCTCCCCCTCCTCCCCCCCTCCCCCTCCCCCTCCTCCTCCTCCTCCTCCTCCTCCTCCTCCCTCCTCCTCCTCCTCCTCCTCCTCCTCCTCCTCCTCCTCCTCCTCCTCCTCCTCCTCCTCCTCCTCCTCCTCCTCCTCCTCCTCCTCCTCCTCCTCCTCCTCCTCCTCCTCCTCCTCCTCCTCCTCCTCCTCCTCCTCCTCCTCCTCCTCCTCCTCCTCCTCCTCCTCCTCCTCCTCCTCCTCCTCCTCCTCCTCCTCCTCCTCCTCCTCCTCCTCCTCCTCCTCCTCCTCCTCCTCCTCCTCCTCCTCCTCCTCCTCCTCCGCCTCCTCCTCCGATCCTCTTCTCCTCCTCCTCCTCCTCCTCCTCCTCCTCCAACTTCATCCTCCTCCTGCTCCTCCTCCGCCTCATCCCCTCCTCCTCCTCCTCCTTCCCCCTCCTCCTCCTCCCCCTCCCACATCCGTCCCCCCGCATCCCTCACCCCTCCCCGCTCCTCCATCCTCCATCATCCCTGCTTCCTCCTCCCTCCTCCCGCCTTCCTCCTCCCCCCCTCCCGCCAACCGCCTTCTATTTCTTCTCCCTCCTCCCTCCAACCCTCCTCTTTCAGTCCTCCTCCTTTTGTCCCTCCTCCTCCTCCTCCTCCTCTTCCTCCTCCTCCTCCTCCTCCTCCTCCTTCGTTCGTCCGCCTCCTCCGCCGTCACGGTTCCTTATCGATACACCACCTCCTGGCACATCCGCACGTGTCAGTACGGTCGGGCGGGCTTGTCGGACCGCGAGAAGAATGGAGGACAGCTCCATTTCAAAACTGGGCCTTCGCCTGAACGGCAGGCCTATATGGCGCTCGTCTTTCAAGCAAACGCTTCGCGTAATGCACTCTGACCATTGACCTTGGGCCGGGAGCCCATCGAAATTGCAACATCGCTGGCACATAATGGGTTTAATCGCGTCGTTCTTCTCGTCCACTCCTCTTTCCTTATGAATAACTCCTCCCTGCCGCACCCCGAGGCCACCCGGACGGGTTGGCCAGACGTTTCGCTTTAGACTGCCTTACAGCTTGATAACTGGCAAAGGTTTCACAGATGGAGGGCCAGTGGTTCTCAAAATGTGGCTCTCGCCTCAGCGCCGCGGACGTTATTACGACAAACGTGCAAGAGGGTTACGGATTGAGGGCGGGCGATGTTCAACATGTCGCTCTCGCCGCGCACATTCGTTTGAACGTTTTCCAAAGCCTCGCGGATTGAAGGACGGTGGTTTCCAACATGTGATGTTCGCCCTAGCGCCGCGCGCATGTGTTTGAAACATGTACAAGAGCTTCAAGGATTGAGGGCTACTGTTTTTCAAACTGTGGCGCTCGCCTTAGCGCCGCGCAGAATCGTTCTTAAAAATGCAAGAGATTCATGGGTAGAGGGCGGCTCCTTTTCAAAACAGGCTCTCGCCTTAACGCCGCGCACATTCGCTTAACAAGTCCGCAAGCGTGTCACTGGTGCCCGTGGTTATTAACGTACCAGGCATAGTGTGCTCGAACGGTTCAGGACTGTCATTGCGCAACAATCACGCCGACTCGCGGAATGCATCCCTGGGGAACGATGTTCTGGCAAGATTGCAAATCGCCAACACGCAACCGTCAGGTTATCTCGTGGCGTTGCAATCATGAGAATGGTGTTTCGCCACGCTTCCGGATTTTCGCAAGTTTGTCCCCCAACGGAGCAATTTCCTCAATGGAAATCAACCCTCGTAGGGGCATCCTCCTTATCCTCCTCTCTTTCTGCCTCCTCCTGCTCCTCTCGGCCTCCTCCTTCTCCACCACCACTCTTCCGTATCGCTAGCACTTGCTCGTAGCACATCCACACGCGTCGTTACGGTTGGGCGGGTTGGTAGGACCGCAAGATGGAGGACGAATCCATTTCAAAACTGAGTCCTCGCCTGAATGGTAGGCCCATGGGGCGCTCATCTGTCAAGCAGGCGCTTCGCGTAGTAACCCCTGAGCAGTGCCCTTGGGCCAAGGGCCTATGAAGCTCCCATGCCGATGATACATCCTGGGCTTACTCGCGCGACCTATTCGTCCTCCTCCTCCTCCTCCTGCTCCTCCTCCTCCTCTTTCTTCTCCTCTTCTGCCTCTTCCTCCTGCCTCCTGCCTGTTCCCTCATCCTCCCGCCTCCTCTCCCTCCTCCTCACCATTCTTCCGTCTCTCAGATCCTCCACTTGCCCCCTGAGTCAAAAGCATCGCCATCCCAAAGATCACCCAACACACACACACACACACACCCTTGTCCTCCTCCTCCTCCTCCTCCTCCTCCTCCTCCCCACCCCCATCCCCCATCCCGTATCCCCCATCCCCCCGCCCCGACACACATACACACATACACACACATATATATATATATATATATATATATAGATGCGTCTGCGGCTGGGCAGAGGGTGACTGCTCCGGCGGAATGGCAAAAAAGGGCACGCTGCATGCGAAATAAGGCCGCAATGCACTGAGGACGAGGGGGAGGAGGAGGAGGAGGAGGAGGAGGAGGAGGAGGAGGAGGAGGAGGAGGAGAAGGAGGGAAGGAGGATGAGGAGGAGGAGGAGGAGGCCCGGCGCGACAGGGGGAGAGGAAGCCGGACAACTCAGAGCTGCCGACTGCGGCGGAGGGAGCGCCGAGGTGGGAGACCAGCGCCAGCACTGAGCAGCACTGAGCTGCACTGAGCTGAAGCTGGGGGGGAGGCAACACTGTGCTGCAACTGGTGATGGAGAAATACAACGTAGCGAACCCCGACCCGGCCCAAAGCACGGTCCAAGGATAGGCCGAGCGCCGAAACCAGCGGGCCAACGAGGCGCGTGCAGGGAGAGGTACAGGCAGGGGAGCGCCGGGGGGGGAAGCCAGCGCTCTGAGCTGCACTGAGCTGCACTGAGCTGATCTGGGCAGCACAGAGCTGCATGGCAGAAGCTGGGGGAACGCGCGGCCCAGCTGACTGAGCAGCAAAAGAGAGGTAACGGGAGCGCCAGCACGGCCTGGCGAACCGCCAGGTCAGGCCAGGTGCGGCCCGAAGGGCAGCTGACGCACCGAGACTGGACGGCCTCGAGGTATGAACTGAACTGAGCAGGGCAAGAGGGGGCCAAGGGCCACCCTCGGAAGCGAGCGCGGCGCTGCGGGCACGAGGGGGCAGTGCGGAGCGGCACAAGTCGTCACTGGGCGGGCCTGGCGGCAAGCAGTCTGGAGCCAGGCGGAACAGGACACCGAAGGGCGCGGCGTCCAATCCAGCAGCCGAGACCCGGCCCCGAGAGAAGCGAAACGTCGAGACCTGCGGGCCTGCGAAGCGCAACCGCTGGGGAAGGGCTGGGGCGGCACCGCCGGAGAGCGGACCGAGGCGGCCGGGACGGGGCGACGGACGAGCCGAAGAAGCGGGCGGCCAGGACCTCGACCCGCGCCGACGGGAGGGAACCCCGACGTCGGCTACGGAGGGGAGCGCCGAGACCAGGCGAGGGGCTGCCAAGGGGCGCAGCAGCACCGAGGGCGCCGGGCACGGGGAGGGGCCCCGCCAAAAGAGCGCGCCGTGGCCGGATGCCAGCCGGCGGCGGGCAGGCGGGCCGCGCCTAATGAAGCCAACGCGAGCGGATGAACACAGGGGCGGAGCCACCTGAATACCCGCACGCGGCGAAATGACAAAGAAGCGACCACGGCCAGACACCAGTAGCCGGTGCTGGGCGGGTGGCCGGAAGTGCCAAAGAAGGCACACACACACCCTCCCCCTCCTTCAAATCAGTGAGACAGTGTTCCTCTTCTCCTCCTCCTCCTCCTCCTCCTCCTCCTTCTCCGTAGCCATTTTGGCTCAAGCCAGCCAGGCGACGGGAGGCCCACGATCGGTTGCGCGCGCCCTGCTGCGCGCATGTGCGCGCACATGCGGCCGATGGCGGACCTCGAGACCGACGGCAAGAGGCGCTGGGCTGCGACTTCGGCGCGGACGCTGGCGCGGCGACGGCGCCGCGAGTGGCGTGCAGAGGTTGGCGTCTCCAGGGCGCAGGCGCGAGGACGGCGCGTCGACATTTTCAGGAAGTCGCTGGGGGCCCACTGGGCAGTGGGCGACGCGGTCGGCGGCCACGAGGCCTCCATCATGGCGACGGCGAGCGCGGCCAAGCTCCTAGGCCTGTGCGAGCTAGCGGCGAAGGCCGAGGAGCTCGGGATCGGGGTCAACTGGGCTCGGCATGCCGCCCCGCCGGCCCTGGCGAAGATGCGGCAGACGCCCTTCGGGATCAAGGCGTCGCTGCTCGAGGATTTCCGCGGGCAGCTGCACGCCCCCTTTGTGGCGGAGGAGCCGGCGGTGGACCTGCTGCTCACAGCCCTCGGGGTGCATTCCGACGAGGGTGCAGACGGTGCTGAGGCCTACTCGACGGAGGCCGCCGAGAGGGAGCAGGAGTCCATCGGACTGCAGCCGTTTGACATCGTGCACGTGGACGGCTAATTACGACACGGCAGTTGGGGAAGTGAACGCAATAGGCAGCGAGGACAACGGCGGCGACAGGAAGGCTGACTTGATGGAGCTCGGCGACACCGTCCCGCTCGTGAGCACGGTCGAGGGAGAGGAGATGGACTCGGTCGCGCTGGAGATCGAGGACGAAGACATCGTCGCGCCCGTGGTTTTTGGCGACGAGCTCGACGAGTGCGAGTTCGGCATGCCTGCCCTCTTCGATGGCGAGATGGTCATCGACGACGAGCTGGACGCAGGCGCTGGCGCAGAGGCCCCAGAAGAGGCCGAGGCGCCCAAGCAAGAAGCATAAGAGCTCGTGGTGCTTCTTCGAGGGCAGTTGAGGGCCATGCGGAAGTCGGCTGCTGATTTTTACGAGGGACTCGAGCAGGAGGCCAGGGGCCAGGGTGCCTCGCCTTTTATGGAGGCCGCCCGCTGGACGCGTGGGACATCGAGTTTCTCTGTTCAATGGGATGCGCGGATTGATGGCCATATTGCGAACATCGAGGCCATGTTTGTGAGGCTGCCGCAGGCCTGTGAAACAAGGGATGTCCAGGAGCGACAACTGCGTGGCTGGCTTCGCCAGCATGAAGTGGGGCAGGAGCTGGCGCGCAGGGCTGGGTGGCCTTGTTTTCCTGGGCCGTGGAGCTCGGGTATTCGTCAGGGCGGCGGGCCGCGCGCGGGCCGCGGCGGAGCCGACTCTGGCGGCGGCGGCCACAGGCTCACGCGTGGCTGAGGGGTCCGCGCCTTGTGAGTGGCGCGAGGATGAGCCCCCAAGTGGCGCCCGCACCAACGATCGCCGGCGGGCGGACGAGGACCCGCTCTTTCTCTCTGTCAGTTGTTCCTCTCCCTCAGCGGCGTCTTATCCTCCTCCTCCCCATCATCATCATCAGCATCAGCATCAGCATCATCGTCATCATCATCATCATCATCATCATCATCATCATCATCATCATCATCATCATCATCAGCATCATCGTTATCCTCCTCATCATCAGCATCATCATCATCAGCATCATCATCAGCAGCAGCAGCATCGTCATCCTCATCAGCATCAGCATTATCAGCATCGCCATCATCATCATTAGCATCATCAGCATCGTCATCATCGTCATCATCGTCATCAGCAGCAGTAGCATCATCATCAGCAGCATCATCGTCATCCTCATCCTCATCCTCATCCTCATCCTTATCATGATCATCATCATCATCATCATCATCATCATCATCATCATCAGCATCATCATCATCATCATCATCATCATCATCATCATCATCATCAGCATCAGCATCATCATCATCATCATCATCATCATCATCATCATCATCATCATCATCCACATCCTCATCCTCATCCTCATCCTCATCCTGTTCCCCTTTCTCCTCGTCCACTTCACCTGCCTCCTCCTCCTCCTCCTCTTCCTCCTCCTCAGCCGCCGCCGCCGCCTCCGCCTCCGCATCCGCCTCCTCCTGCGCCTCCTTGCCTTCGCCCTCGCCCACCTCCTCGCCGTCACCCTCCCTTCCTCCTCCTCCTCCTCCTCCTCCTCCTCCTCCTCCTCCTCATCCTCTTCCACAGAGGGGTAAACGATTGTCCATCACTGCCACCGCGTCATCGAACCCACCCATCCTCTGCGTGAGGGCTCGCGGCTGCCCATGGCGGCAGCCGGCCCTCCGCACCCCTCCACACCCCCGCGCGGGCGAGCAGGGAGGAGGTCAGCGCCACGAAGACCTCGATCATGGAGGTTCAAGGATTCAGGTTCTCGGGCGAACTTGAGCATCTATGGCCCTCAGGAGCCCTGGCGGACCCCGGGGACCTCTGTAGGCCTCCTCCCTCTCCTCCTCCTCCTCCTCCTCCTCCTCCTCCTCCTCCTCCTCCTCCTCCTCCTCCTCCTCCTCCTCCTCCTCCTCCTCCTCCTCCTCCTCATCATCATCATCATCATCATCATCATCATCATCATCATCATCATCATCATCATCATCATCCGCAGCATCGTCGTCGTCGTCGTCGTCATCATCATCATCATCATCATCATCATCATCATCATCATCATCATCATCATCATCATCATCGGCATCATCATCAGCATCATCATCATCATCATCATCATCATCATCATCAGCATCAGCATCATCATCAGCATCATCATCGTCGTCATCATCATCATCATCATCAGAATCATTATCATCATCAGCAGCATCAGCATCAACATCATCATCACCAAGAGCAGCAGCAGAAGCAGCATCATCGTCACCATCATCAGCATCAGCATAATCATAGTCATCGTCGTCATCAGCCGCATCATCAACAGCATCATCATCAGAATCAGCATCATCAGCATCACCGTCATCCTCATCATGCATCACCATCATCATCATCATCATCATATTGAGCATCATCTGCATCAGCATCAGCATCATCATGAGCATCATCATCATCATCATCATCTGCATCGTCATCAGCATCAGCAGCATCATCATCGTCAGCATTGTCAGCATCAGCATCATCAGCAGCACCACCATCTGCGCCATCTGCATCAACATGATCATCAACATCAGTATCAGCATCATCAGCATCAGCATCAGCGTCATCAGCATCATCAGCGTCATCAGCATGATAATCCTCATCCTCATCCTCATTATCATCAGCAGCATCAGCAGCAGCATCAGCATCGTCACCATCATCAGCAGCAGCATTATCATCCTCCGTTTCCGCCTCCTCTTCCATGTCCTCCTCCTCCTCCTCCTCATGCTCCTACTTCCTCCGCTGCCTGCTCCTCCCCCTCCCCTCCAAGCTTCCTCGTCCTCTTCATCTTGCAGGTGCTCAGTATCCTAGGCATCCAGAAGCTCCAGCGCACCAGAACGGAGGGAGGGATGGGGGGAGGGAGGAGAATAAGGAGAGTGTGGGAAGAGAGAGCAGAGGCTAAGGGAAGCGGAGGTGAGGGGGGCAAGATGGAGGAGGGCGGTGGGAGGGAGGGAGGGAGGATGGAGGGGAAGGAGGGGGAACAGCAACGGCACGACAAGGAGGAGGCCGCTGCGGAGGAGGGAGGGAGAGAAGGAGGGTGGAACAGAGGGATGAAGTGAGGAGGAGGAAGAGGAGGAGGAGGAGACCACCTCAGGACTGATGCGAAAAGTCAGGAGGACGAGCCTAGAAGCACGACCACAGCACGCGAACGCGTTGTCCTTCTCTGTTGCCTCCTCATCCTCCTCCTCCTCCTCCTTCTCCTCCTCCTCCTCCTCCTCCTTCTTCTCCTCATCCGCCGCCTCCTCCCTTTCCTCCTACTCCTCCTTCCCCTTCTCCCCCATCCCCCTGCGCCTGATCCTCGTCATCATCCCGATCCTCTTTCTCCTCCCCCTGAAGGAAAAGCCAACCACCGCAACGAGTACAAGGAGAGCCGAGGCCCTCAGCGCAGGAGCTCAGCCCCCCTAGTGCAGGAGCCAGGTAGTCGCGAGCACCACGACCGCGCTGAGGAGGCTGAAGACACCGCACGGGCGCGCGCAGCTGAAGGTACACTGCACACGCTCGGCGATGATGGGGCTGGCCCTGGTGACCATGCTGTGGGCCGCCTCTCGCAGGCCGCCCACCTCAAGGCGCGCCATGTTCAGGAACGAGCCAACGAAGGTGGTGATGGTCGGGGCGACCTGCAGAGTCTTCTCCATGTTGGGCAGCACCCTCGCGAACACGTTCTCGATCAGCTTGTCAACGGCCGCCAGTCTGTAATCGTAGTCACTGACGTTTGCCATGATGTGGCCGATCTGCTCGCACGCCTCCTTCGGAGCAGCGGTGGCCAAGCTGGTGGCATTGATACTCAAGCGGGCTGTGTGGGCGTTAAGCTCCCCGAGGAACGGAAAGAGTGCCCTCTCCAGGTCCTCGGGCGCCGTGCGCCTGAGCTTCTGAACGGCCTTCAGGGTGTCCTGGTGCAGGCCTCGGAGGCGGAGGCCCGACTCGTGGAAAAACCTCGCCATGATGAATCGCAGCTCCACGTCAGAGGCGGACTGGCTGTCTTTGACGAACTGGCCAGTCTTCTGCTGGGTCTGGTCCACGAACCTTCGGACATTGGCGTCCACCAGCCTCGTCACACTGCGGAAGTCCTCCACAAACTCGCCGTCCTGCAGCGCTTCTGGCAGGGCCAAGAGGATGTCCACCATGTAGCTCATGTTGAAGCCCAAGGCAAACGATGTCCTCCTGAGGCGGTCTCCCGGAAAGGACCCTGACGCCTCTTCCGCGGGCGGATTGGGGTCGCGCTCTGCACGCGCGCTTGCAGTATCCTTGTCGGCCGTCGTCTCGTCAGCAACGACCTCATGCAGAAATGTACCTGCCTCGGAGGGGAGACCACGCACAGCCGGTTGTTCAGCTTCAGTCCGCTCCACAGCAGCTTGAAGCGTCAGGGAGGAAACCAATGACGACAAGGCGAATATCGCGAGTAACGCCCTCATCGCCCGCACCGAGAGACTACGGTCTGGATATGTACCAGGGTGTGCCAGATCTTGACCCAAAACCAGCTTGAGCCATTTTGGCTCGAGCCAAGTGGCTAATGAAGCGGGGAAGACCGTGGACGGGAAGGGAAAAGGAACAGGGATGCAGGGGCAGAGAAGGAGAGGGGACGGGAGGGGAGGGGAGTGGGCTACCCTGGAAGGGGAGCCAGGGGTACGGGATGCAGACGCAGGGAGAGATGAGGGGACTGGCTGATGAAAACATGAGGACGGAGAAGGAAGGGGAGAGATGAGGAGGAAAGACGCGGAGGCGGAGGACGAGGGAGGAGAAGGGGTGAGGAGGAACGATTGAAGAGGGCTCAGCGGAGGAGGGGTAGGAGCAGGGAGGAAAAGCAAGACGAGAAGGAGTGGTGAAGGGGAGTGGGCGAGGGTAGAGGGATCAAAAACGTAGGAGGCGAATTCGTAGGCAACGTCTCAGCGCTGGGAGGCTGCTCTTTCGGCGAAAGCGCAGCCGACGAAATGGCCCTCCATGCCCTTTTCGGGGACCCAAGAGACCTACGCGTCGTGAAAAATCACCGCGGGCGTTTCTGTTCACATTTCTGGTTTGCGGGCGCGACAGGGAACTGGCCACAGAGATTCGAGCAGGAGGACGACTAGAGAATTGATTTACTCCAGGATTGATTTACCCCAACATACAAATAAAACATGTTACTCTACTAACGTTATACGTACATGTTGTAGATTATTCGGAAAACAATAGTGGGGAAAATAATCTCTGTAGTCGATCTCCTGCTCGAGGGATGGGGTTGAGAAATCTGGGATGTATCTCGTTTGCGGGGACGGCCACGCTGTCGGGGAGCATGAGAGCACCCCCACCCCCACCTGGCCCTCCTCCCTAAAGAAGGGGGCTAAATGAGCGAAGATCAAAACCGGGTCTTACGCGAGATGACATAGCGACCTTACGCGGTGGCTTACGCGGACCGCCAGCGCGGCACGACGCATTGGAGACGAGGGCGCTTACGCGCGGTCTTACCTGGGCAGCTTGCGCGACAACGTCGGTAAAGACAACCCCGTTTCCTTCCGCCGCTCACGGGGGATAGGGTACACTTGGAGTCTCTGTCGCAAGACACCCTCACAATTGGGAGCCGAAGCTCCCTGGCCCAGCCTCGGGGAGCAGAAGGGGGGCCAGGTTGGGGTGGAGGCGTGCCCTCTGTCCCAAACTCCTAGCATGGAGGCAGCGTGTCGAGGGCTGTCGCAAAGGTCGGAGGGGAAAGAGAGCCCACCACCGCTCCGAGTGCTCAGGACCCGTTACCTTCACGCATCCTCTCCTTCACGGCGGGCACCGCTGGACGAGCCCGCAGGAGTCCGAGCGGAGCCGCCGTAGGACAACGACTCGGCCGAGACGCTCGGGGGCCAGCATTCGAGGCCTCCATGCCCTTGTGGGTGCCCCCTCCCCACCGCCAGGACGCTGGGAAATAAGCCTGCGGAAGGCTCGTGCCGAGACGACGTCAGCTTTGATCTCTTACATCGCGCGCATCGCTCATGCTCAAACCATCGCGGCTGCTCGATGTCGCCGATCATTCGATGTCGGCTGGTTCTGGGCCACCAGCGACGGTCAACCTCGAATGCCCGCGCGGATCGCCGCCGCAACGACGCGGAGCGGACCTGCCGTACTATGAGACGTGTGCACCGCCTTACCGCCTGCTGGCATGCACGGGACGGCCGAAGGCGCAATGGGAGTGCGGATGTCACGCGTGTGCGGCAGAGAGAGGGGTTCGCGTTTTGTCAGGCGCGGCCATGCGCATCCGCTGTTCGACCGACGTCCCGCAAGGGTCCAGTTTAGAATGAAGGACTGGCGACGCTGGTGAAAAGATGCATGTCTACACATGTGCATACATATATATATATATATATATACACATACACATGTCTGCCTATGTACATATACCATCCTGGCGCATGCGAAGCCAGAACCAACTCCTGCATTGGCTGGCTGCGCGCCAGAGTGAAACATCAAGGAAGCAGCGTGGAGGATGGGGGGACGGAGGAGCGGAGGAGGGACGGAGGAGCGGAGCAGAAGAGCGGGACGGAGGGATGGAGGGCCGGATGGCGTCTACCAGCCACGCACAAATTTCCAGCGTTGCTGCATCGCACGGCCCGCGAAAACCTCCAGCCCCATTCGGGGGGGGGGGGCGGCGGTAGGGGGCCTGAGGCGCTCCCAGGGTCACTGCGAGGCCACGTGGGCCGAGACGGCAGCTGTGCACGGATGGGTCCGTTGCGGGAGAGATCCTGGCTCGACGTGCGTTCGATTGGGGCCTGCTCTCGGATAGAGCCACTTGCATACCACGTCGACCTAGGGTGTGCACGCACCGTGACCTGAAATACTGCAGCATGGCTACGGCACCGCACACAAACCGACCCCGCCCAGATGAGAGCATCATAGTTCTCAAAGTCCCTCAAATGCGCCAAAACGCTGTCGGACCGTTCCCCCCCCCCACCGTCCCGTGTGGGCACCTGTAGGGGTCCTCATGTAAACCCTTCTGACTCCACGAACATAGACGACGGCAGTACCCGTCCAGATCTCAGGGAGGAGGAGAAAGAAAGAGAGAGAAGGAGAGGATGAGAAGGGTGGAGAAGAGAAGGTGGCAAAAGGGGGAGAAGGACGAGACTGTGGCGGAGGAGCAGGAGGCAGAGGCGAAGGATGTGCGGACGAGGGAGAGAAGAAAGAGAAGAATACGCCTCGGGGACAGCTTTGTGGAGGTGCGGTAGGAAAGACGAGCAGTCCGGGGAGGAGAAAAGCGAGGAGAAGGCAGATGGGGCAGAGCGGAGGGGAGCTCGTCCGCCGTCCTCCCTCCTCCCAGTCACACCCCCAGACGTGTCGGTAGGGCGGGCTGGACGTTTCGCCTGAGACTTCCTCACCATTTATGATCCCGAAGCTTGAAACTTTCAACAAATTCACCGATGGAGGGCGGGTCGCTCTTGTTCGTCTGAAAGTTTACAGGAGGTTCACGGATGGAGGGCAGCTCCTTTTCAACATGTCGCATTCGTCCTAAACTACTGTCAAGGAGTGCGCGATGTGTATGGCTGAATTCCGTGGAAATGTGGTCTGGCGCAATAAAAGGTTGTCTCGACGCAACAGACACATATATTCGCTGTCTTGAAGTCCCGAAAATGGTGAACTGGTAAGATTTCCATTTGTCAGGACGCACCTGTCACGTTGATTCGTGAAACTGAAACCTCAGGAATGGTGACTTGGCACGATGGAAGATTATCAGACGGTCCTCTTCCGATATGGCATTTCCCACAAAGAGCACACACTCTTGCTGAGACCTATGAAGAGGGAACTTGGGGGGATGTTTGATTGCAACATCGTTGACTCGTCTTGGGTTTACACTGGACCTCGTCCTCCTTCTCCTCATCATCCACCTCCTCCTCCTCCTCCTCCTGCTCCTCATCATCATCATTATCATCATCAGCAGCAGCATCATCATCAGATTCGGTATCATCACCAGCATCCCAATCATCATCATCATCATCATCATCATCATCATCATCATCATCATCATCATCATCATCATCATCATCATCAGCATCATCATCATCATCATCATCAGCATCATCATCAGCAGCATCAGCAGCATCATAATCATCACCATCAACATCATCACCATCATCGTCATCAGCAGAATCAGTATCAGCAACATCATCATATAATCAGCAGTATCAGCATCATCAGCATCGTCATCTTAATCACCAGCATCATCAGCATCATCATCATCATCATCAGCATCATCGTCATCATCAACATCGTCATCGTCATCATCATCATCCTCATCATCATCATCATCATCATCATCCTCCTCCTCATCCTCATCCTCATCCTCATCCTCATCCTCCTCATCCTCCTCCTCCTCCTCATCATCATCATCATCATCATCAGAGGGCGCACCCCGACGCCGCACCCCTCCGCTCGCGCAGGGCTGGGTCCTCCGTCGGCACCAGCGCGGCGCGGAGCCCGTGACCGCGGACAGGCGAGGTCGCGAGCCCGCGGAATGCCGTGGCGGACATGCCTGGGGAGGGCGCTGCTGTCGTCGTCGACGTCGTCGTCGTCGTCGTCATCCTTCCTCCTCCTCCTCCTCCTCCTCCTCCTCCTCCTCCTCCGCCTCCTCCTCCTCCTCCTCCTCCTCCTCCCTCCTCCTCCTCCTCCTCCTCCTCCCCCTCCTCCCCCTCCTCCTCCTCCTCCTTCTCCTCCCCCTCCTCCTCCTCCTTCTCGCCTTCCACCTCAGTATCATGATCATCCGCCTCCTCCTTCTCTTCCCCATCACCACTCCTCATCAGTCCTCCCTCTTCCTCCGTCCTTCCTCCTCCCTCTCCTCCTTGCCTTCATCCCTTTCCCTCTGATTGCGTCCCCATCAAGCGAGCATCAGTTCCCCTCTCCTCTCCCCACCTCTCCCCAGCTCCTCCCCAAATCCCCTCTCCTGCCCTCTGCTCTCTTCCACTCCACCTCCACGCAAATGATATATCGCAAATATTGAAAACGTCGGCTGCATCAAGAGCTCGCGAACTGCTGGTGAGCACCGAACTCGTCCTGCATGTGGGTCGCAGCCCCATGCTGCCACGCCTGCAAGTCCTCCACAAAACGCGTCTCGATGCAACTCGCTGGTACCTAGGTCGCCATAACGATCAAACTACTCTTCCGCGACATGCTGATAGAGCGCCTATGGTGCCTGCCTTTGCGCTACAGCGCGCGTTGCCCCACCTGCCCAGAAAACAAGACGGGAGAGGGCTGGCGGCGTCGAGAGGCGGGCTGCATTCATCGCTGCCAACGTCCACCAGACGCTCAGCCCACACATCGAAGGTCAAAGCCAATCAAGAACTGTCAACATCGGACTCCGAATCAGCGTCAAGCATGTCACCTTCCTGCCGCGCTGTGCGACATGCATCACAGCTGCTGCCCCTGTCAGAACCCCCTGGCCCAAAACAGCGACAAGGAAACAAAAGTCCGCTGGTCATAGTGGCCGTGGGCGCCTCGTGGCTGGCTCGTGGGCGCCCCGTGAACTGTGGTTTGGGCGTTCGCCCGGAGAGCGCTGGTGGACGCCTCGTCGCGGCGCACATGGCCCACGCAACGTCAGCAAACCCACCCAGCAAGCACAAAATTACTCACCCTCCCCAACCCCGATCTATCGATCCCCCTGGGACACTGCAAGTAACGTATGATCCTGCCCAATCGTCAGTTTCCCTCCTGAGTCCATACCATGCCAAGCGACTGGTCATAACCCCTCCCCACCCCCCATCCCTGTCAACTGGAACCATGCGCGCACTTCGTACATCCCAAAGGACCGCTTTTGCAGAGAATCCATTGGCAAAATGCTGGCCCGCGTGGATCCACACTGTGTGTTGTACCATACTACGTGGTGCAATTTACGTGATGCAACCAATATACATGGTGCAATCTATGCTGTGCAATCCACCTTGCAGAACCTGAAGATGTTCATCCGGACCTCCCACCCGCAACTTGGTTTGCAAAAGTGCGACGGCGACTGCGATGACTTCCTGGCCATTGCTGGTGCATTTCTGCGGCAGCGCTGGCGCGCCGCGCAAAACGGCAACCGACGCGGCCGCGGTGGCGCTCGCCCATGGCAGCGCTCCAACGCGCGTCAAACGCCGTGGCGGCCAGCGGGCACTTTAACGCGGATCGGAGGCACGGGCGTGCGCGGTATCATGACAACGCCGACAACAGCAGCAACGATGGTGATAGTAGCGATGGTGGTAACGATGATGACGATGACGACGGCCAGGCAATGACGGCGCCGACGATGGCATTGCCGACGACGATGCTTATGTCAACGCGCCGCTGATAAAGGTTCTGAAAAGGATTTCGACATGCGCGCGCGGCCGACGTGCGCGCGGCCGACGCGCGCGCGGAAGGGATTGCGCCGCCCCCCCCTGCCCTCCCTGCAAAGTGCGCAAAGGCGTTCGAACGATTTCGCCATGCACGCGCGAGAGGCCAACGCGATCTCACTTGATAGAAATGTTGACGAACCCGCGACGTTCCTCTGAATTTGCAAGAGCGCGCGCGCAGACTTCGTTCGAGAAAGGAGAAAACCTGGCTTCTAGATGTGCTCGAAAGCATCGAAATTTACATCCTCGCGAAAACGAGGGTTCTCGAAAGAGTTTGACACGCGCGCGCAAGGATGCGCGCGCGAAGATTTTGCAAAAAAACGCACGCACGCCCTGGCTCTTGCACGTGGGGGGCGATGGTCAAGCCAGGCGGCGCGAGGAGGGGGGGTTCTCCCAGGGCCTTCCAGGCGTTCTCCCGGGGCCATCGCGACCGCCATGAGGAGGCCTGGGCAGAGGGGCCCGGGGGCGACGAGCGAACGAACGAACGACTACGAAGAGAAAGGGGTCCGAGCTCTAGAACACAGCTGCGCCCAGAGAATCAAAGGGTTCCGCTGCCCAGGGGCAAGGGCGGGGCCCAGGGGTGCCCGGCGCGGGCTCCGCGGCCTGCTCAAGGAGAGCGCCGGGGAAGCCCAAAGGGGGAGGACGAACGACCACTGAAAAAAAACAGTTCCGCAGCCCAGGAGGGGCAAAATGGACAGATGGCAAGATGCGCATCTCTGGAGAGGCCCGACACGCGCGCGGGAACGAAGACTAAACCGGCGCAGGGCCCCTCAGGCGAACCAGCCCGCGCACGGCGTGGCCATGCTGAACCACTCTTCCCCGCCCCGGGCCAAAGCCACCCAGAAGAGGGGGCCCCAGAGGGCGGGCGCGCCGCAGCTGGAAAGCTGAGGAGCGCGCGGCGACCAGAAGAGAAACCTCACCCCTGCTACCCCCTCTCCCCCCTGCCCTCCCCAAAGCCGAGGCGCCCCCGTGCCTCTCGGCCGTCCAAGCCCCCCCCCCTCCTCCACCTCTGCCCCCCCCGTTACCCCCCCCCCCCCTGCCCTCCCCCAGGGGGGCCCATGGCCGAGGGCCCCCCGCGCCCCCCTTGGTCCTCCGATAGCTCCTCCATTCCTCAGCCACCTCCTCGTCGTTGCCCAATTTTCTGGAAAAAATGGCGCAGCGGCTCAAGACGTCACTTAGCGGCCACCTCAGGCTCAGAAGCCTTGCGCCGCCTGTTCACGAGGGACATGAGCTCGGGGCGCCTCGCCTCCGCAATCCACGCGGCGCGGCTGCTGATCTCGCGGTTCTCCTGGAAGGAACCTTTTTTCCAACCATCCTGCGGCGTTGGGTCCTCGTTTTGAGGAGACAACCCCCCGCGCCCCACCTTCCTCCTTCCTCCTCTTCCCCGCTCCTCCCCCCCCCCCATCCCAGCGCAGCGTTTCGTAGCCCCATAGGGTGCTCCACCGAAGGCCCCAGCGGGGGCGCCCGCACGCGGTTCACCGCTTCGTGGCCCCATAAGGAGCTCGACTGCAGGCCCCAGTGGGAGCGCCCGCATGCGGTTCCCCCACCCAGCGCAACGCTTCGTAGCCACTCAGGGCGCTCCACCGAAGTCCCCAGTGGGGGTGCTTTCGCATGCGGTTCCCCCACCCAGGACAGCGCTTCGTGGCCCCATGGGGAGCTCCACCGAAGGCCCCAGTGGGAGTGCCCGCATGCGGTTCCCCAGCCCAGCGCAGCGTTTCGTAGCCCCATTGGGAGCTCCACCGAAGGTCCCAGTGGGGGTGCCCGCATGCGGCCCCCGCACCCAGGGCAGCGTTTCGTGGCCCCATAGGGGGCTCCACCGAAGGCCCCAGCGGGGGTGCCCGCAAGCGGTTCCCCCCGCCCAGCGCAGCGCTTCGCGGCCCCACAGGGGGCTCCACCGAAGGCCCCAGCAGGGGTGCCCGCACGCGGTTCCCCCACCCAGGGCAGCGTTTCGTGGCCCCACAGGCAGCTCCACTGTAGGCCCCAGCGGGGGCGCCCGCATGCGGTTCCCCCACCCAAGGCGACGCTTCGTGGCCCCATGGGGAGCTCCACCGAAGGCCCCAGCGGGCGTGCCCGCATGCGGTTCCCCACCACCACCACCGCGGCAGGCCCCTCACACAGTTCATGGCCCCATAAGGAGCTCAACCGAGGACGATATTCACAACTGCGGTACTCACAACTGCATACGGTTGGGTCCGTCGCCAGGCTAATTGTCATGTTTGTGCTTGCGTTTTTCGGCGGTGAACAAACCTCCCTTTAGTAAACCTCCCTTAATGAAAACTGCCTGGGGCCGAAACCGACGGACCTGGACCCGCAAAAATGACGGCCGCGACGCCCTCTCGCGAACCGAGAACGGCCAATTCCTGAATCGACGAGCCAGGGTAGGAGGTCTGTCCACCCCTGAGTTTTACACCAATGTCAAAGGAATAATGAATAATTAATACATGTTCTCCTGCGCAGGAGGAACCTGCCCAGTTCGTCGCACCAGCAGCCGCGGTCGACGCGCCCTTCAGCTTCGGCGACAGGGCGCCGCGCACGTCGCACCGACACATCCAGCAGCAGCGGCACCACCACCCCTTCCCGCATGTCCGCATCGGCCACGCCCCCCCCCCCCCTCAAAACAAATGCTTCAGCCATTTCCAACCGCGACAATCTGGCAACACCGAGCCGCAGAGGTCGCAACGAGTCGGCATGGCGCTCGCGGGCGCGCGGGCTGAGCCGGGGCCAAAGCGGCTAGATGTGCCCCCACGTCGCCCCTATACCTTGCACTGCCTTAGATGCTTGGGGCCCCTTGGCCGAGGGGCCCCACTCCCCCCCCCCCGCCCCCCCCCCCCCCCCCCCCCCCCCCCTCCCCATCTGTTTTTTTTTTTCCGCGCCGAGCGGCTAGCGGCGCACAATATGCACCCATCCTATTGTCGCCCTACACTACCCCACAACGAATGGCAAGCGGCACGCCTACCCGAAGACTAGCTTGGATAACGCATGCTCCGTCGCCTCTTGCAGGCCTACCTTGCCCGCGTTGAGTCCCCCGTTCACCTGGCGGCCGATGTCCAAGAGATACCCCTTGCTGGCCGCGCAGCGCACCCCCCCGGAGGAGATGAGCTGCGAGCCGCCCTTCGCGCGGAGCCCCACGGAGTGGCTCTGCTTGCAGTACATCGCGCTGTCGAGCTGCTCGGTCTCGCAGTCGAACGCGCGGCCTTTCCCGCCAGTGAACTTGCCGGGGTCGGCGGCCGCGGGCTTCGCCTTAAGCTCGGCGGCCGCGGGCTTCGCCTCGGCGGCCGCGGGCGTCGGGGGCGCGCCCTTCGCGCCGAATGCGATATACTCGGCGTCGTCGCCCTCCTCGGGCCCCATCGGCGTCGTCAGCCGCGCCCGTCCCCTCCCCCCCCTCGCCCTCGCCCTCCTCGCCCGCCATGGCCAGGTTCTCGCCCTCGACGCGCCAGGCGCCGGTCGCCGCTGCAGGCTTCTTATTGTTCCCGCTCGTCCTATGAAAGGCCGGCTTCTTATTCGCGGGCGGGTTCTTCTTCCACGCTGCGAAGTCGGCGTCGGCGACGGCCGACGCCCGCGTCGCGCCGTCGGCGAGGACGGCCACGCGCACCGCCTTCTCGCCGCCAGGGGCCAAGTCGAACTCCCTGAGGTCCCCGCTGTCGTCGGCCACCTTGAGCATCATTCGGTTGCAATCCACCTCGCGGACGCTAGCGCGCCTCGGCGCGGGCTTCTCGGCCGCGGGGGGCGTCGGCAAGTCCGCGAGCGACTGCTTCCGCGTCAACCTTTTTCCTCGTCGTAGTCTGGGCTGCGCTCGAGCTCCGGCTCGGGGGCCCAGGGCAACCGACGCCCTCTTGGTCGGCGTGCGCGGGGCGTCGCTGTGCCCGTACATCGCCGCGATCTCGCTCGCGCTCGGGGGGCCGCGCAGCGCGGGCCCGCGCGCGCCGCTGGCGGGGGCCGCCAACGGCCGAGCATCCATCGGCAGAGTCGGCGCCCCCTCGCGGCCCCGTTGCTGCAGCGCGCGGGCGACGGCGGCGCTCGCGGGAGCCAGCCTCTTGACGTCCTTACGCCTGTAGCAGCGCTGCGTCGCCTGCTTCACGGTGTTCGCCCAACTCGCCCGCTCGGGATTTGAGAGCTCAGGCGAGTGACCCTGGGCGGCCTCGGCGGGGAGCGGCGCGGGCACGCGCGGCGCCAGGGCCGCCAAGTCGACCAAGAAAGCCCTGGTAAGGCGCACCGTTTCCTCGACATCGCTCTGCGCCTGGTAGTGGATGATGCTGAGCGCGTGCGTCTTGCACAGCTCCGTGGGCGCTTGGAGATCGCTGATGCACTTGGCCCTGGGGCACTCGCGCCAGGCGGCCATCTTCTGGCGGGGAAAGGGGGTGCGGCGCGCGGTGCGCGAGCGCTTAGCTTCGAGCCTAGATGTACATCGGATCCGCAAACAACCGCGGCGACGCGCCCCCCCATCCCTCCCCCCTCGCGCCGAAGGGCTCCTTAGACGAGGAGCCCCTGGCCGCTGCCTCATGTATACGAGGATCCCCTGGCCGCTGCCTCATGTAGACGATGTTGAGCCTTGTGCATCGGCAAAAAAATTCTCATAACACCAATTCGGCCTTTTTCTGACACCCATGTTGGGCCCCTTGTCAACACAAAAAAAACGATATGAATAGATAGGGCTGTTGTGTACCAGCAAAAACTATTTAAATAGATCGGCTTATTAAAAAAAAACTCGATGTAGATCATCAAGCTCTATTTAGACAAGCGGATCGATATAGATCGGCACCGCTCTACATAGATAAGAAAAGTATAAATATATAGGGAAAAACTCGCATGGATCACAATCAGGCAGCGCGCGCGGCTGCCGTTCCGGCTCCGGTTCCGGCTCCGGATAGGGATCATCCCTCATCCCCATCCCTCTCCATGCGCCCGGGTGCAAGCGTCGGTTCCGGCTCCGGTTCCGGATGACCCCCCCGGGCCCTTCTCAGGCAGCGCGCGCGGCTCGGGTTCCGGTTCCGGTTCCGGTTCTGGATGGGGATCATCCCTCATCCCCATCCCTCGCCACGCGCCCGGCGCCGGTTCCGGTTATGGTTCCGGACGACCCCCCCCCTCAGGCAGCGAACGCTGCAGCACTCGTCCGGACAGGATGGAGAGGGATAGGGGTGAAGGGCGATCGTTATCTGGAACCGGAACCGGATCCGGAACCGGCACCTGTCGCGACAATATGGAGGGGGATGAGTATGAGGGATGAACCCTATCCAGAGCGGGAACCGGCACTGGAACCGGAACAGGCACTTGTCGCGACAGAAGGGAGACGAGACGAGACGAGCCCATGGAATCCACTGCAGTCTGGACTACCAGCATTCGCACCTGAATTCTGGGAGTGGGCATCTTCGGCCCTCGCGATTGACAAAATCTATCAATTACCTGCACTCCTCGGACGAGGCGTTGGCCTGTCGGCACCTCTGGGGCGCGCGACCCCGAGCGAGGGCCGATGCGAGCGGCGCGGGAGACATGCTCATTGCTGTCTTCCCTGGCTCGGCTCGCTCCCTCCTTTCCCCCGCCCACGACTCCCCGCCCTCCCCCTTCCTCGGCCAGAGCCCCTACGAGGCAAAACTACAGTCGGAATACTCGGTAGCTCCGCCTGTCTGTAGGCCGGCACGCTCCCCACCTCCCCTAACATCGCTCTGGAAGCTACCTCGCTCGAGATCACTCCTCTGGCAACTAGGGAAGCGAATCGCTCGGATGAGCTCCAATCTACTCGCTGCTCCCTGCATCTAAGCTCTCTCTCTCTCTCTCCCGTCGGCCCTCCTACTTGTTCACTGCTGTTGAAATCTCCCGCTCCAGCGGGCCCCTCGGCGCGCCCCCGTGCAGGCGGATCCCCCCCTCCATCTCGATCGTGCGCTTGAGGAGGTTGGCCGCCCGGGCGCCCGTGGCAGACTGCTCGTCGAAGCAATATGTGACCAGGCACCTCTGGCCCGCCTCGCTCTTGCGCAGCATCTTGACCCTGAGGTACTTGATGTGCACTCCTATGCTCACGATGTCCATCTTGCTCACGGTGCCCTGCCAGAACTGCTCGGCGTCGGAGCGCGGGATCTTCCCCACCTCCTCGGCGGCGCCCGCTGCGAACTGCCTGGTCGCCATGTAGTGCGTGGTCGCGCCGAACACGTGGAGGTGGGGTGGGCCGCGCCCTTGATGTAACACTGCTTATCCTGCTTTCTTTTTGTAGGCCAACTCCTTGCTCTCTGCGTCGTACTTCTTGCCTGCTCCGATCATCGCCGCGGGAAGCCCCTGCGCCGCGCCCATGTCGCACGTCGCGCGCGCTGCCGCGGACAGGCCCGCCGTCTGGCGCGTCACCGAGAGGAGCAGGCGGCCGATATTGTTGACCAGCTTGCTCTGACCCCCTCCTCCTGCTGCGCGGGCCTCTGGTTTCGCCTTCTTGTCTGGGCCGCCGAGCGCTTCTCCTTGGGGACCGCGACGCTGGCCTGCGGCTCCAGAATCTGGGCTGAACCACGACGGCATCGTCAGTGCGACTCCACTCTCTGGCATCCTGCTGTGACAGGGGCGAGGTTCGGTCAGCAGGCCGCTCTCTGTCACGGCGCGGCGGTAGTGGCCAAGGGAGATGAGAGCACAAATGGCAACATAGCGAATCAAGATCCTCACCCTGGAAATCACATACAGGGCACGCAGAATATGTTGGTGGCAGTAATGTACCTAGTGTTGTCGGGCCCCTCGTAGTGCAGTTCCCCCTGATCATGGATCCCAGCAAGTGCCTCGCTGCTGTTACTGTCGTCGAGAACACTTGCCTGCAATGGGTACATATGTTACATGGTGTGAGAACTGCAGTTACTGACGAACATGATGATGTGCACGCATATGATTGAGTAACGCTTTGCAGTCATGATAGCATGCATTACAGAGCCCCCCGCCCTTGACCATTATCTTACAGCGATAGTTTCCCATTGCTCCCATGTTCGTGAACTCCTCCTCCCCCTCCTGGGCGATGGTCTCCATGCGAAAACCTGGCGGTGGGATCCTGGCCCCAAACTCCCGAGCCCGAAGTTCCGTGAAGTCCAGTTTCACAAAAAGTCCTCGGAGCCCTCTGAGTCCGGAAGCACCCATCTACCAGCACCTCGGCCACAGCGATGTGCTCCAGTTTTTCCGGTGCATACTCTAGGTCTCCGACCATCTGTTTCAACCGCGGGGACGCGAACCTGGTAGGAAGACCGTTCTCAAGCTGCGCGACTCCCAGCCCCTCCTCCATTTCAAGATCTCCGAACATGGCACACAGAGGCTGCGCGTGACAGTCGGGGCGCGCCGCCCAAGACTGGTAAACTTCCAGCCTGCGGACGGTGAGGTCGATCTTACTGCCAGGGAACCTCCAATACTTCAGCACCTGTGCATGAGTTAGGGACCTCACTGTACCATCGTCCGGTGCCTCAGTTGCTGCCCCTCTCATGGCTATACGGCAAAGAGAGGCGAGGCAGCGGCCAAGGCGCTTATAGCCTGTGTCCAGTAGTACAAAGGGCTCCAGCCCACTGTTCAAAGTGTTGTAGACCTGGCCCTGGAGTAATGTTCTTCGCCATTTGTAAGATAATGCTAGTGACCGTACTCCCCCAAGACGTTTTTTTTTTTTTTTATATATATATATATAAAAAAAAAAAAAAAAAAAAAAAAAAAAAAAAAAAAAAAAAAAAAAAAAAAAAAAAATCTGCGTTGCCATATCACAACATCTCGTTACTTCATGATGCGCGGTTTCACGTGCCACCAGGTGCGGCCCCACGTACCGAACACAATATGATACGTTGCCCCGAAGTTTATCTCGCCCCAGTCGTAGAGTGCGACGTGCTTGATAATCGTGATGTGCAAAGTGAAAGAGCATCTCCTGTTTACCTATATTCTGCCCATTCCCATATGGAGCTAGAGATTCGTCTAGTGCATCATCGACCCGTCGAAGTTTATCTAGGAAAGCGCGTAGTGTGCTGCCTGGACCTGCAATCACCATTTTCTGCAAGTCATCAACGTACTAGGCCCAGCTGAGGTCCGCAGCAAGGTTTTGCCGCGTCGATACCAGCGCTTTTGAATTCATATCAGCACGGCGGAGCGCGTAGCTCCATCTCCAAACTGCCCGAGCGAACGTTCCCAGGAAGCCCTGCACTGTAAAAGGGTCCCCCATGGGTCCACCGCACCGTGGACGAACGGAAAAAGATCCTTCCTGCCCGTCCAGCTCAATCAAGGCCTTGCGGTAGCGCTGCTTGCACAACTCACGATCATGCTCAGCGGCCGCCAAGGAGACTGTTGTGTCGAGTTCTTCCCGAATCCGAGCTCACGAACGCGTTGCTCATGTCCTTGAAAGTGTTGCAATAAGTATATCCCAGCCGTCGAGCCCTCCATCCTGATACCAGCGCCACGAACACCGCATTCCCCCGACGGCGACGACGCACAAACCCGTGATCGGCAACTGTGGGCACCACCCTCAGCTTGTTCGAGAAGAAGGCTGCCCGCGAACGGCAGCACGTGGACCACGCGGACGCCCTTCGGCCCCATCTCCAGCTTCTTCGGGATGTTGGCGCCCCTGGACTTGTCGTCCCAGTACAGCGGCACCTGCTCGTGTTCTCTCATATTGGCCAGTCCGTGCGCGAGCAGGAACCAGAATCCTTGAGGAGAGATGAGCTTCGTAGCCGATCCCACTCCAGCTCGTGTGCGTAGTCTGTAGTTCGGCCACATACACTGATGCCATACCTCCATGGGAGCCGTGCCTCCTGGAACCATTTTCCTCTTCGGGGCTCTCCTCGCATACCGTCGCATCGTATTCGCATCCGCTTTGACTAGCTCCATGATCTCCTCCGGGTCGACTTCGCCATAATAAAAACCGTATCCCCCCGAGCGTCTCGCCATAGATCCCAGGAAGTCTCGACCACCTCCATGCCGCCCTCAGGTCCGCTCTGAGACCATACTGAGAGCCACTCCTGCTTGCTAGGCGGCGCACAGCGGACAAGTCGTCCGTCTCGTCGTTTGGGCCCGTACCGAGTACGGGCCGCTCGTCGAGCCAGTCTCATCCCCTCTGCCATGCGCCCCCTATGCCAGTTGTCCAATGCCTCCGCCGTGAGTTGACCTCTCAGCTGTCGGGCAGCACGTCTTCGTTCCAGAAACAGCTGGTGGGTGATGTCCCTCAGCTCCCGGTCGATCCTGGCTGCCTCCTCTGGGGAGGCCCGATCTTTCTCAGCCCGAAGTTCCACTCGCTGCTGGAGTAGAAGCCGTCGTTGTGCACACGCTGCGCTGTAGCCTGGGCGAACCTCTGATTGTCGTGAAAATACGTCCTGACCCGCTGCTCGCAGTACCTCCTCCAAAGTCTCGAAGATCTGG